TTGTCCCTTGCGATTTATGTGATGATCCATGAACCTCAAGATCATGGGTTGAATATAACCTTTGCAGTAAAACACAAGGGGCTGCCTGTTTAACATATACCAAAAAGATAAAAAGACGAGATGAGTACAGGAGAATTTTGGAGTAGGCCCTAACATGGAAACAAATAAACGAGGTTACGAAGGATTAAAAGAAAATTAGAAAATTGACCTGCCAAAAAGTGTAGCAACCATCGACCAATTTGTTTGTCCTACCTTGAAATCCCATTTCTACTCCTTGTCTATGTACAGCCCAATTCTAGAATCATAAGAATATTAATGTGTAAGAAAAATATCTCTATCAATGGAAAGAAAAGGTATTCCATCAATCATTTCAAAACACCATTGTATGTTACCATTAATGTATCCAAATCCAAACGGTCCACCTCATTGATTAAATTCATAGTAGCCAACCCACAGTAGGTGTACCTAAACAAAAGATTAGGTGGGAATAAGAAAAACCGTAGGTAACAAATCAATATTTCAAGAAATAAATTATACTTAACCATGGTCAATCGAGGAAGAGAGAAGCAAAATTCAGTTTCAATCAAAACTTCAACAAAATGGAAGTAGGAGACCATACCCACCGTGAGCTTCGGAGCCAGGTTCCCCTCCAATACCACCTTCATAAGTTTGGCAACTGCTCAAAATAAAGTGAGTTAAAAGAGCTTTGCAAGGGAAATCAATAACTTCATCAACTTACAATTATATAACGGAGTCCAGGATTATATTATGTGAGATAAAAGTTATACAAAAAACTACCTCACGATGTAATCTCCTAGGCCCCGGGTGAGTTCATCATCCAAAATGTTCAAGATGCTTGCAATCTGTTTCAGAAAGTCAAACATATCAGGGAGAAAACCAACCATAAGATAGGAGATTTGTAAGTCTCAATAAGAGTAGATCTCTCGGCAAAGTGTCAGGTGGGCGCAAGTGTGCAAATAATTAGATCATTAACCATATCCTTATGTGACGTTTAAGCCATGACACTGAAAGAAACATAGCAAAATGTGTCCTGAGTTTGTTGGTCTCAATCAGCCTAAATAGTTTTGATGTCCGCAAGAAGAGAGAACAAGAAACTTTGAGTTGGTAAAACTCACCGAAATTGCAGTGTAGCAAGCTCGAACATCCATTTCTCCCATATCATGCATCCTAACAATCAGTGAATAAGTCAGAATTTGGTGCCAAGACTAGGAGTCAACAAAGTGCATGAAGTATAAAAAAGCGGTACGCAAGAATTGAAGTGTGCAGTCAGTAAAAATGATGCGTTACAGAAGTTCAAGCAGAAAGAGAATCAAACCTGAAACCTCCACTTCTATCCTTCATTCGTCTTAAAAAGCAAGACATTTTTTCTCTGAAAAATTATGAGTCGCATGTAAGTCTTCTATAGAAAGCATCAATTGCTTCTTATTGAAAAGAAACTGACCATAAAGAAAGAAAAAATGCACCACCTATTAATTGAAGAAAGGGCTTTGTCACCTCCTACAGTAACAAGTGTGTTCACAGCAGCATAACTTGTTGCAAGATGTGGAAGCTGGCAAGAAAATATCTTCATTACTAGTGAACCAGAGAAAAAAAAAACTTGAAAAAAAAGGCAGGCTAAGAAAAACTTTATATATCCTAACTTGCTCTGCCATGTTTGGAAGATTTACATCAAAACTTAAACTACAGCAAANAGATCTAGCAGAATGAAACGATCTGGTCTCCATTTTAGGTTTCCAATTTTATGAAACGAGAGTGTTCCACACATTTTCAAAAAAACAGACGTATACTTACTTGGCCAGGACCACCACCATATCCACCTTCAGAGCCCTGACAAGCACCGCATGAAAGCAAACTAAGTACCAAATGAACAATTCCAGGTAGTAAAATAAAGAAACATGAACTAAAGGAGCAGAAAAACAAAAATAATAGATGAGCAAATTTGAAAGCAGATAAAGCAAAGGAATATTTGAAAACGCCTAACCTGACAACGTCCAAGAAAGTCGATGACATTGTTTTCTAATTCATCATCTACAGACTCCCCAAGTAGAGCAATTGAATGCAGAATCCAGTAGCAAAGCCAAGGTCGACTGTCCAAAATCCAAATTTAATATATTGACATTCAAAAATCTTACACAGTCACTATCTAAATGAAGAGCATTCGAGGAACAAAAGCAACATTTGAAGTACGAATTCTGGTCATGAAAACAAACATATGCCAATCACATTTGATATCATTTTCACGAGGAGAAGATACGTACTTAGCATCTAAGGAAGAAAACGATGGAGCTAGCTGCCTTAAGCCTCTCATGAGATAATCCAATTGCTTGTCTCGCTGAATCTCCACCCTAAAACAAAAACCTCCATCAGTAAGATTCATCTCACAAAGCGCTAGTAAAATTCATCAGATTACGAAAAAAAAAAAACAAATCAAACTGAATCAGGTAACAAGCAAACGATGGATTTTACATGAATTTCTGAGTAGCAATGTCGCCGGCGTCAAAGTAATTGTAGATCCCGAACACATCGTTCTCCACCAGAAACTGCTCGCGCTGACTCACAGTAATACTCGAAAGCTCTTCCATCACTCCGCCGCGATTCGCTACTCTGTTTTTCTCCGTCTCCGATTGAGTCAACTCCAGTTAAATCGAAACCCTAATCACACGAAACTTTCATACGCCTAACGTTTGATCATATGCCGGAGAATGTTTTGCTCAAGCGTCCAATGTAATTGGGCATTTCAATACGCCACTCTGATTCCGGTTTATTACCGGTTCGGTTCGACTTGATTTGATTTTCGAATACCGGAATTAATTTAGCTGTTCGGTTCCGGTAATCCCGTACCGTCCTATCGTCACCATTAACCCACTTCTCCACTACCACCGAAGCAACCTACAATTGCAATTATAAAAATATTAATATTAATTAGATTAGATGACGCTAAAAAAAGGAGAAATTTGCAGAATATAGCCCTATATTAAATGAAAGGAAAACCTTCTTCTAAAACAGTATAATACACAACAAC